ATGCTGCATGTTAATCTTCTCTGGAATCCCCCAGCTGAATATCAAAGCTTGCTTCATTGCGTATGGAAGCGGCAACTTGCCCCCAGCAGCCCAGACTCTTCTCTACCTATCTGCTTGTGAATGTGAACGCCTCCTTTTGCAGCTGGTGATGCGTTCAGGGTCCAGTCCCTCTGATGTTCCTATTAGTCATGCTCTGTCTGCTCTCTTGGCTGGTCTCAGCTGCAGCTGGCGCACAGCCGACTGCTGCTGCTACTGCACAGCGGCTAAGGAGTTCAGGTCCACCACAGTTTGGATCAAGTCCAACAGCCCTCGGGTCCTGTTCAGATTAGCCCTGTCTTTTGAAATTCAATTCATGCACGTCAGGTTTGGGAAGTTTTCCACAGGTCTGGTTTGGATCATGTCCAAAATATGAAGATCTGCATTTCATGGTCCGAACAGCGGCCAGCAGGGGCAGAATATGTGAATAAGCCCAGAGAGGAGAGATGTTTATCTGACAAGAGGCAGTGAACATTTCACAGACTTTGTATTCAAACACCAAATTTCTCACTCCACAGACATTTGAGCTGATAAATAATGTGAAAGTGTGCACAGTGAAAATGTATGATGAGTTGTGTCTGTTGAACAGAATGACTCGGCCATCACTGTCATCAGAATGAAGGTCTGCAGTGTAAACGGAGAGCAATGACTCAGAGCAGTGTTTATCCAGACGTCTTAATGCTGGCCTTTACTTGATGGCAGTGACAGCTGCTCTGATATGGCAGAGAGGACAAGAGGAGGTTTACACAGGAATGGCTCAGGGCACCTGAGTATACCTGCCTCCTCGCAGCTGCCGCAGAAACCAACATGAGAATGGGTTTCAGCTGCAGTGACAGCAGGGGCAGGATATAAACAAATTAACTGCCTCATGGTGTTTACAGAGACCCTTAAGGGGGAGGTGCACCGATTCTGCACTTTAAAGTCTGTTTACAGGTGCAAATAGGCAAGTGAAAAAGCTGAATGTGAAGAGTCAGAGTGTGGTGCTTGAGGCTGGATGTTTCAAGCTACATCAGCTGCAACTAGAGCAGCATAACACACCTGAGTCCTCAATTGAACTGCTGATGGTCCAGCTGCATGCTGGGTAATGCAGTGAAAAAAAACGTATAAGTTATAAGCAGCTGATTTAGATCCTTTTCCATTTGTGAGTCCTACTCACTACTTACTAAACTTTATTATCCTCTAGTTTGCAGCAGGCACATACACATAACCACATTCATATACAACCCAGCAGACATCTGATCTAATATAGATAGGCATATATCAGTGCATTACAGTCCCACATTACTCGTAGCTATATATTACATTGCACAAAAACAATCATAAAGATACTTATGCAAAGCAGTAAGACAAATGTCTGCACCACCTAGACAGATAAATAAATAAATACTAAATACAAATAAACAGTCTAAAGTCTGACAATGTTAGGAATTCAACTTTATGATGATGTATTGCATTCAATGTTGGACAAGTTATTTGATCAGTGTAATCAGTTACTCATTACATATTACTGTAACAGAAAAGCCATAACTTTACTAATTGCTAAGGAGCAAAAGTAACGCTTTGCATTGCACGTTACTTTACTTTCATTACTAAGCTATCAGCTCCATCAAAGGTGTCTTTAAATGTCTTTTCAGCCTAGAGGGTGCACCGACTGACACCATAAGACACTGCTAGCTGCTCTTTGCCCTTCGCATCACATCCTGTTTCCTAGCATCGACATAAGCTACAGATGCCTGGTTGGGACAAACTGTCCAAACTGCAGCCTCCAGTCTGAAGCTAGCGTTAGCTGACCAACAGTAAATATGTCAGTGCAGGAGTCCTGCTGATTATTGATTGACAGCTCATTCCTGTTGCCATGTCTCATTTTGAGATCACGTCACCTCTCTGTTATTTTTCAGTGCATATAATGTTACTGCTTGTTCTTGCATTCATTCTGATATGTCACCTTGTTCATTCATTTAGGCACTCTGCAAAACCACTTGGGCACCGTGCTGAAGCCTGTCTACGGTAAGGAAAACCCACTCAAATATCTCTTCTCCCTCTTTGGCACCCCTCCACCTGCTGACACTCCAGGTGACTGCCCAGCTCTCCTATGCCAATAAACATGCCTTCAAGTGAACAAACCATGCTGAGAAAAACCTCACAGTGGGAGTTAAAGCACATGAAAAGACCAAAACTGACCAGCACTGACCTCTGACCTCATGTATATTTACAGCCTTGAATGCAGTCCACCACCAGGCCGATACACTTGGCTTTATAAACTCCTACATTACTTCAATTTTTCCTTATCTCTGATTTCTTGCAAATTTCATGTGGTTTTCTCTTTACTGCGTCATGCTGGATTATAAAGATTTCAGGCCATATGTCTTGTTTTGGGACATGTGTGACATGTGTCTGCTGTATGATTACAAAAAACACATTTTTTTCTCCATATAATGGAACATGTTCTTAGTCAAATGAATTCTGTTTCTTTTAGCTGGAGTTGTCAGTAAGAACCTGAAATGTGTTGCAGAAAAAGTGACTTTTGTCTGCAAACGTCTGTTCTCTGAGCCTCAGGAGGGCTCATGCTTGATGTGACACCTCTGTCTGTTTGGGGACGGTGATGTAATCTTCACCTGGGCATGTCTGAACATTCAGTCTGAATCTGCAGCGTGTGTCTTTTCTCTGGGTAAAAATAACCCGAGGTAAAACTGAAACTGCTGTGGGCAGTTTCTCGACTTCATTAGATCCGAGTATCAGAAGAAATCTGAATATTTCAGTTACTTAGCTGCTCTTAGGATTGTGTAACAAAATAATCTAGGCTCAAAGGGCCACACATCAATTTTCTGAAGCTTTCAACCACATCTCAAGGTCTTTGTCAGGGAACTGAACTGAACTTTTGTCATGCAACCTGAGTGTGGATCTTCAGTTACATGACACCAGGTGATGGTATATGGTGACAGATGATAGCCCCTGTGCATTAAACAGTCTCTGGCATCAAAAAAGGATATTTTTCACAGAGCCCAGGGGGATGCAAACAGATGCATTAGCACTTGAAAACATTTGCACACTGAATCCCATGGCTTTTTGAAACGGCTTCAAATCTTACAGAAACGAGAGGGAAAAGAACGACAGAGGGAAATTACCTGAATAACTGCACAGTACTGAATTCATTCTGATGCTGTGCTTAACACAAACACAAACTTTAGCTAGCTTAAAGCTATTAACAAGAGTATTTGACACTTTGGTTGTATGGCATGAACAAAGTGGGGGTCAGGGGTCACATGACAGACAGGTGCAGAAGGACAACAAAGATCTGCTTCCAAACTCAAAGAGGAGATGCTGGGGTTCATGTCACCAGACCCAAAACAGCAACTCTGATACATCATTTTTTCACTTTAGCAATACATTAATATTGATAATTAATCTGAGAAGCACTACAGTATTCCTAATTCAACTAAACTCAACTCAGACACAAGATTCTTAGTATCTGTACAGTAGCAGAAAGAGGCTGATAAACTCTATTTAGAGAAAATCTCAGTGAATCACTCCACCTGTTCTCCAGAAGTCCCCCCAGACATGATAATGAGCAAAACCCTCCATCTGGCAGCTCGTGCACAGCGGGCTCACCCCAGAAACTGTTGTATGAATGTGCTAAATTTAATTCTACTCTAATTAGTTTTGTGATGAGAGGCTGCAGAGCAGGCTGGGCTGAGCCTGTGGCGGTCGTGAAATAATCAATCATCAATGATTCAGTCAGAAACGCAGCTTTATAAAGACACTCCTGCTTTCTTAACCAACACTGTTAATCAAAGATTACACTGATCTTTCACTTTGGAAAAAATGTATTGACCATTAGCTACATTTAATTCTGCTCTATTCGTTTAGCAGTTAATTATCTAATTAGCATAATGTTAGTAGATAACTGTTAGCCCCTGTTATTGCTCCTATCACTGTAGAAGTCCAGTCCTCATTGGTGAAGTGCTGTATTTCTCTCTTTGCACAAGAGTTTATTTATACAGAGTTTGGATGGTCAACACAAAATAACACAAAAATAAAAGCTGTTAACGTTAACGTATGCGTTGATAACTATGCTTGCAGTAATTTAGCATTATTTCCAAGACCAAGCACATCATTATCTAACGACCTTCACGACTATAACATTTGCTGTGTGGGAGCCGGTCATGGATGATAATGTGTCAGAGCAACAGCTCTCAGCTCAGCAGGGTGGCCTCAGTGACAGCACTCAGTTTCTACTGACAATGAATGGACAGCTGTCACTAGCCCAGGGCTTTGTCTCCGTATGTGTTCGGAGTGCTCGGCCACAAGAGGGTTCACAAACAGTCGACATCCTTTCCAGCACTCCCAGTGATGCTTACATAAAATATTCCTGTATCCAAATTATGATATGAATCAGCACTGAAATCTAATTAACTGTTCTGTGGGCCATACTTTAGCTCTCCAAAAGATTTCATCAAAATCCATTCATTACTTTTTGAGTTATGCTGTTAACAAACACACACCAGCAAAACATAACCCCGTCCCTTGGTGCAGGTAACAATGATTATGAATTTTGATGGTAAATCTGACACTGCTGTCACTGGAAACCTGAAGTAAACATTCAGTCTGTATTTGTCACCCAACTTCTAATAAAACCGCCCAAAACCACTAAAGTAATAGAGCTTCACTGGGATTAGTAACTGTAATGCTTCAACCTTATGTACCATACTTGTGAACCATTTGCAAACCATGTTTTCACAAATATAGCAGATTAAAAAGCAGATTCCAAACTGTGCACTATTCATCAGGACTGCAGGTTTCACCAACATTAACTGCAGTACTTCAACATGGTGACATCAGCATCACACAAAGACACACTATGTGTGTGAGTGTCGAAGCTGCTGACAGTGTGTGTTTTCATGTAGAAACTCTGCTGGAGGGCGTAAAACATGAGAGTGCATTGTTTATCAGAGACGCACCCTTACCCGCTCTGCTGACTGTGCCGTGCCAAAGAAGATGGGGATGAAGGCGAGCCAGATGATGCAGGTTGTGTACATAGTAAATCCAATGGGTTTGGCCTCATTAAATGTCTCTGGCACGCCACGTGTCTTGATGGCATAAACAGTGCATGTGACCATCAAGAGGATGCTGTATCCCAGCGAGCAGATGAGTGACAGGTCAGAGATGTCACACTTGAGTACCCCACGAGCATTCCTGGGATCCTGTGTGCGCTGCTCTCCATAATCCACGAAGGTGTGGGGAGGGTCGGCGGCAAACCACACGAGGATGCCCAGAAGCTGGACTGAGATGAGCGAGAAGGTGATGACCAGCTGGGAGGCGGGTGAGATGAACCGTGGGGCTGTCACTGCCTTCTTGCCCTGCTCGAAGATGCGGTAGATTCGGTTGGTCTTTGTGAGCAGTGCGGCATTGCTGAAGCACATGCCAAGGCCCAGGAAGATGCGCCGGAAGGAGCAGACGACAATACCAGGCGTGGCGATCATGGGGAAGGTGATAATGTAACACAAGAAGATGCCTGTCAGCAGCACATAGCTCATCTCCCGCCCCGAGGCACGCACAATCGGGGTGTCGTTGTGGCGGACAAAAGTGACAATGACAAAGGTGGTGGTGATGATGCCCAGGACGGCAATGAAGACAGGCACCAGCGCCCAGGGCGAATGCCACTCCAGCTTGATAATGGGGATTTGCTGGCAGCTGGTGCGGTTCTCATTGGGTCTCTTCTCGTAGGGACAGAGCTCGCAGGTGAACTCACTGGCCTGGAAGTGGTAACCTTCACAGCGCTCGCAGTGCCAGCAGCATGGGACACCCTTCACCACCTTCTTCCTCTCGCCAGTCTGGCAGGGCAAGCTGCAGACCGAGAGAGGCAGCGAGGAGTCACCTATGGTCCACTGCAAGGCCTCCATCTGAGGGGAGCGAGGAGGAATGGGTGGTCAGTACTCACCTTCAAACTGAGGACAAGCAGCATCAAAACAGCATGAAGCTAAAGCAGCAGCACTGATGTGTCAGGCTCTGGTAGCAGTTAACTGTTAAACTAACCTATACTGCAAATGGACTCTACAGCATGGAGCAGTTAAACAGGTCAGCTGCTGTGTTTGGTGAGATGATGAACAGACTCCCTCTCAGAAACAATACATTTTCATTACAGAGAAGTGTTACAGGAGTTAATGAAGCTAAGGAAAGCCAGTTATTCCACAATCAGTTCTTTTTCACTTTTGAGAAAAGTGATGGTAGAACTGTCAATTTGCCTCCTGCTTGTTAACAACCAAGTCATGAATGCAAAAACTTTCATGAATGAGCTGCGTTATAATTCTGATCTCCACCACTTTCATCAATTATTTAATACATCTATTGCACATTATTAATTCTGTTCATGTTATGAATAATGTGGCCTAAATGTGTATTTACTGTACAAACACAATAACATTGTCACAATGTTTGAGTCTTGTCCAGCTCTCGGTCATTTGTCTTAGAATACATGTTTTTTCAAACTGCTGTTTCCAAGTTAAAAAATTTCTCTTCTTTCAGCTTCAGTGTTTGACAAAAAAATATACTTGTATGTTTTCTGGTCAAAGCAGGTCCTTACGTTTATAAGCAGCTGATTGGTCCAGTGTCCGATGACCTTGTATTCCGCTGTTGACCTGTTGTTCATCTGATACTGGAAGATGTCATAGCGTCCAGGAGCATCACCGTTCTCATTAAAAATGACTGGAGTCCCTGCACTTCCTGTACAGACACAAAGCAAACAAATATGGGTTCAGGTGGCATCATCAGACCTGGTCCTCTGGAGCCAGAGAACATTTTCATCAATCTCACATGACCAAGCTTGTGTCTTTGAGCTCAGTGGATGTTGGAGAGCCTCTCCCCTGCTCCTTTGTTGACAAGAAGAGTCCTGTGTTTGATTCCACACTTAATAATGTAGCAAATGTACCTTTGTCTGAATTTAGTAACTGTCTGCTAGTCAAGTTACTCAGTGCTCCTTTCTCTGCAGTATAAAGAAAGCATCCAAGGCAAACATGAATCCACACTAATGGATCAGTGGGGGGTGGGGTGGGGGGTTTAGTGCGCTGGAACATACCGAGATGGGTTGGACTGTAAATTCTGATGGAAATCAGAAGAGAACTGAAGCCATCAGTGGAGATTAAATATTTTTCCTTCATGCTTTCAGATGTTATTGGATTCAGCTGTTGGCAGAGTGTGAGCAGTGTCAGACAGCATGTGATTTTATCACGGCAGGAGGGATTTTATCAATATGACAACAAGACATTTGTGTGATTGTTTTGCTTTCGAGAAGCCGGCAGGGAAACTGTGATGAGATGAGTCAGACTGTGAAGAAAACCTGCATCACATCAAGAAAAAAACCTGAGAGAATATCATGAGAAACTGCTTTAAAAGGCAACACTGACAGATGCTGAAGACATTTTGTAGGATTCAGATGCTTTATTCTGTACTGTACGTGCAACTTATACTGGCCTCATCAAACAGACCGACATTTGGTGCCCTTGATACAAATAAATCAGTCAAAACAGGGCTAGGTTACCATATTAACAGTTAAAGAGCCTGAAAGCTCCAGATCCACTGTGCGCCAATATAAACTGTAACACCTGTATGATACAGGTGAGCCTGTCTTCCTAATAAAAATGGCAGCATTTGTTTATGTTCGACTGACATCGCCCTCTAGATACTAGTAATTGTGACTCATGTCCATCAGGAGCAGGAGGAAGTCAGGTGATGCAACTGCAGAGACACAAACCCCCACAAGTCACAGCTAACGAATGAGCCTAGCTTTCTGACACATTACTGTTAGTCAGCTAATGCTAGCTTCAGACTGGAGGCTGCATTTGGTAGTTTGTCACACCCAGGCATCTGTAGTTTATGTCATGGCTATGAAACAGGAAGGGACGGAAGGGGCAAAGAGCGGCTTATGGTGCCAGTTTGTTTTGAGTCTCACTAGACGTTAGGCTGAAAAGACAATGAGTAAAGTAGCTGTAAGACAGTTGAAGTACGAAAAGGTTTGTGATTCCTCATCTGATGCATTAAAGTTTAAAATCCAAAACATTGCATTTTTGAGTGTTTGAACCTTGCAATATCACAGAAAACACTCAAAGGTTCAGCTGCTTCTGATTGGGGCTCTGTACGCTGCAGACTTAACATCAGGGAGAGCAGGCTTCAACTTGAAGCAGATTAGTCCGGAGCTGCTGAAGCCCAGACGAAGAGCAGCAGGTTGGAGGTAAAGAAAAATACATTTACAGTGAAGTGAGTGGGCACCAGTTTGATTCTATCCCGCTCTGACGTCCTTCTTCAACATGAACAAAAGCGTCACAAATCACATCAGCATGGAGCTGAATCACCACAGCTCGCCTCAGGATGTAGAAGCCCCTCCTTCCACAAGCACCCCCTCATCCCTGACTTCACTCCAGAGAATTTGTGTTGATACAGAATTTACTTCCTCCCTCCACAATATTTCCAAACATGGTAAAAGTGACAACTCTGTGGTGAAACATGCTACATCACTGTCATTAAACACAACACGATGACTCACAATGTGCCACAGTGGAATCCACAATAACAGGACCTAAAGGACCAAACTGCTGCTTTTACATTTTAGCACATTTGTGAGACAACGGTATAGAAACAACACATTGATTTGTATAAAACACTTTTCCATTCTGTAAATCAGCTGAAATCTGAGGAAAGATGCTCCTTGTAACTTCAGAATCACATTTTAGATTTCTGTCAGGTGTAGGCAGAGATCAAATCAGAGATAAAAGGTGGACACAAACACAACTCCAAACAAATGTTGTCCTGTGTCTGCAGATGTACACAAAAGCAACTCTTTGCTTCAATAAGTCCTCTAATCTGTACTATAATATGTCCTTTGTCCCTTCCTCTTCATACGACCTACAGCGGCACCTCCTGAAATAGTGCTACTCTGTTGGCGGGTGGAATTGCAAGAACAACATTAACAATAACGTATCTTGCACTGGCAAGCTTTATGAACTTTGGTCATGATGGAGACGGTCATAAGTGTCACGGCAAACATAACAGAACTGTTATAAACTTGGTTATGATCATTATGTTTAGCCACACAAACAACTTGCATCCACGTTTCCCTCACTTGCATCTTCTCCGTGCATGTTGGTCCCCCCATGTAAGATGCAAGGAATAGAAACAGGGAGAGACTGTGAGCAGAGAGGAACATGTTTTCCCAATCCTTCATGTGAAGCATCCATTTACAAAACTGATTTGCAACAAAGGGGCGTGTTAGTCTGTAGCAGACTAGTTATGCACTGGTGTATCCTCACTCTTCAGAGCAGAAATAAGAACTTTGGGGTGTCCTTCATGATGACTTCTGGGTCAAGCGAGGCTCGAGGGCCGATAAAATAAGGGAATTGGGATTCACTTTAATTCACCTAAATTACTCCTTTGCTAGTGTCATAAGACTTACTAATTGCTAAGGTCACTAGAGGTTACCAAGTTGCAACATGTAACTGTTGGTCAGAAACACCTGCTGGTACAAATGGCTCGTTGAGTCCAGGGCTGGACCCAAACATTCGGCTATCTGAATATTTGTTTGTTGGGTAGGCAACTGGTTTTCAATTTTAGTATTCAAATAGTACTTAGTATTCAAAAAAAAATCAGCTGTCAGTGATGTCACAGCGACAGAGACCTGATACTCCATGAACCCGCCTGTTCGTCCTGAGTGGATCCGACAGCAGCAGCTCCTCTTCACCGCAGTGACAGGAAGCATGTGTCGCTTTGAAACACAAGAGAGTGAGGTCACTGTGTTTTATTGAACCGGGCTCAGGTATCAAGTGTATAACAGGGCTGTGACAAACAGCATGCACCTGGGTATCTCATCCATTCATCTGTGTGAAAACACCTCCGAATGTTCACGTGCACTCGTGTCCTCATCTGTAGCTTTACCCACTCCTCTTTTAGCAGTCTAGTTGCTCTGTTCATCTCAACCTTTGAATTTGGATCATTTTTCACGTCACACCTAATTACCTTGATGTTTTTGTCCATCACTGCCTTCATATATCTCAGTATCACTAAATGTTTCTTCATTCAAGCTCAAACAAACTGAATAAAAGTTGCCATCTGCTTTTACAAAAATGCTGCCAGATCAAAATCCTAATTATGGAAGATCACAATACTGTAGGTGACTTACGATGCTGGTTTGCAGTAAAAGACACAATGGGGATCATTGATCGGATGTTCACACTTTATTCACGTTTCTGTCTGGCTGATGGTTAAACACAGAAAACAAAGGGTTATTTTGTGAGCATCCAGGGAGGCCTGGTGGTTTAGGACACTGAACGTTAGATGCAGCATCCCTGCTTTATGGAGAGATATCCACCAGACGTAGGAGAATGTACTGTAATGTTGACCTATTCATTTAATCTTTCAATCCGCTCTGTGTTGTAACAAACAGCTGAGCTCTCTCTGCGTGTTTCCTCTTCTTGCTTTGTTCAGCAGTTTATAAAAAGCTGCATCTGAAGTGAAGTCACAGTGGGAGATCAGCTCCTCACATATTCATCACTTCACTCACCTAAAGTATCTACTCCCTCCCTACGCCACTGAACTGACTGTAGAGGGCTGCTCTTTCTGCAGCTCCACAGGGTCACTGATGCTGCATCCTCCAAGTGGCCAACAACATGCTTTTATCACCTCTTTGTAAGCATCTGCTGTCTAGATCAATCAGGGAGGACTGTCCCTGATGTCCTCCCCCCTTCTCATCGTGTTTAAAAAGGCCTCATGCAGATGGATTTAGCACAGTGACTGACTTGCTTGATGGTTTGAGCGCTATTTAGCATATTTAATGTGATTATGGTTATTTTCCTATTAGGGACGCAGTATGACCATTACATTGTAGAAATTACAGTAAACAGTTTAGCACCGTTTTAATGCATTTTTCTTGCAGGTCTGGGAAAGCACTGATTTGCATTCATTTCTGTGCATTTGACCAAGCAACACTGATGCAGATTTAACAGAATTAATGCAGACTTAGTGTTCAAAGTGATGGATCACTTGAGCAAGATTTGCCTCTGATACTGGTTTGGAGTTTGCACTCCTGAAAATCAAACATTATTTCCTGATTCTTCTTTATTATCCTGATCTGTCCTCATTTACTTTGACTCATTGAACTCAAACTGTTCAGTGTTTAAAAACCACAACATGCAGCTGTGGAACTGGGATTTAACAGAGCACAAATTTATGGTTTCATCCCTGCAGGAGAAATTCACCTCTCATTCAATGTTTAATGTTTCTCCTCCTCCTGCAGAAATAACATCTAGCAGCTCTTCACATCTCTCAGACCCGGCACAGACAGCTGAATCCCTGAGAGCTCAACATATCAGCCACAAAATCTGCCCCTCTCTCGTCTCTCTGTTTCATTTCTGTCCAGTATCGTTCGGTGCTGGGAGGCGGGGGGACATTTCTCCAGTCTGTGGTATGCTAATTTACTGGAACATCAGTGTCATTTCTGCAACAACCAGAGGCACAACCGAGGCCAGCAGCTGATGTAAGGAAGGGAGCTCTTCATAGCCAGGTAATGGACAAGAGGAATGATTGCAGTTACCACTTTAACTGCAATGCATTGTGGGTGATCTAGATGCCAGGTTTATATACATGTGGTTTTGCCACTTTGACTTTGCTGATTTTTTAGTCCATTATGAGTTTGACATTGTTAGAGTGTCCCTCTAATTCTGCAGCATACTCTGCAA